TAAAGATGGATCAGGAAGATTGTATTGGAAAATAATATTTTTACAAGATCTCAAAAAAGTTTCAAGCGATCGAAAAGAATTAAAAGGAAACGATGCGCTTGAGACTTGGTTCAAATATATACATATTTTTTTTCTGAAGATAATTTGTATAAAATATATTTTGCTGGGAAAATCTTTATATAAAGATGGACCAGGAAGATTGTATTGGAAAATAATATTTTTACAAGATCTGAAAAAAGTTTCAAGCGATCGAAAAAAATTAAAAGAAAACGATGCGCTTGGTTCTTAGTAAAAAGAATATATATATATATTTTTTTTTTCTGAAGATAATTTGTATAAGATATATTTTGCTGGGAAAATCTTTATGTAAAGATGGATCAGGAAGATTGTATTGGAAAATAATATTTTTACAAGATCTCTAATATTGTTACATGATTACATGATAATCTTGATTGACGACTCAGATAATCAAAAAAATCGCATTAAACGGTTGAAGATGAAATTGCGTGAAAGCGTGCTGCGAAACACAAACTGTCCAGCAAGTTTATCGTTATAACCAACCTACAAATTGAATGATAGAAACGAGCAACGAATGTTTGAACGAAGTTTCAGAGAAAATTTTCGATCGAATTCACTTGTTTATTTGAATGTGCCGGCGAACAATGATTTCAGTTTGCGCGGAAGATTGAACTGAAAGGTTGAAGAACAATGAAGTAGTATCAATCGTTGAAATATTTTACGCAGCGGTATAATTAATCTTATCGAATTATGAGGAAAAAGGGGAAAAAAACAAAAGAAAAAGAAGGAAATATGCGATGTGAAAAAATAAGGAGAGCAAATTTCCATGAGGAAATTTCTTAAGGAGTGAAATCCTGTGAAATCGAATATTTGTCATTAGACTTTACAATTTACATTATACACGTACGACCATAAATCATCGGATACTTAATGAAATTAAGATTTAGAGTGAAATGCATTGTTGAATTGAAATTAACGCGTATTCAGTTTCTACGGTGCGAAAGATGTATAATGCGAAATTATACACATACGTGAAAGATCTTATCAAAAAGTGATTAACACTACAATAACCTGAATATGACGGATTTCAGATTTTCTTTTTTTTCTACAATTGCTTGAAAGATATAACTCTATTTATTTTAATTATTATCAATTGAATGATTTACATGTAGAATATTTCGAGGCTCTTTTAGTGTTGATTGATCTTTTTCATCAATATGTTCCCCACGTGCGTGAGATATTCTTTTTATTCATTCTTTGAAAAATCCTGGCGATATTTCTACCCAAGCTTCTTTCGTTCATAAATTTTTCTTTGATTTCGAACGCGTTTTTCTTTCCTTTACTCTTCAGTCCATAATTTTTTTTAAAGAGATTCAAGCTTACCGAATGCGAAGATCATATATAATTTTGGCTTGTCGTACATACGTAAATATTATCGTGAACTAGACAAATTGTATCAGTATCTCCATCAATATCCTCTAATTATCCTGCAATCGTTTTGTTCAAAATGAGCAAAACTTGCTTATTTATATCAATGCAGGAATTAGGAATCCGTCTTAATTAACGATCATTCATACGCGAATAATTTCTCTAATTACTAAATTCGTTGATCTCTGTGTCTGCTTCTTTTTAGTCTTTGATTTTTTTATTTTTCATAATTAACATACCTTCTATCATCGACAATAATATATATATATATAATAATAGATTAGATTCTAATATCGATGATACTAAAACACCGATTTATAAGAATTTTCTACACGTTTGCACGAAATTGAAACTCATAATATAATTTCTACTTTACTGCTTTCCAATGATACAATAGGAATTCAGATCGAAATAAATGATTTCATCCATGAGGAGCCCATTTAATCCGATGCTGATTAAAATTTCGTTCAAACAGAAAACTTCGCACTATTGAAACTCTATTACGCATAATGGAGTTGGGAAATAATCCGATATTTCGAAGCACGTGTTTGATGTCACACGACGAACTAACAATAAGAAGAATCGATAATCCGCTAGTAAATTGAAAGTGACGCAGATTTCATAAAATCTCAGTGTCGGGCACGTGCATCGCGATACGTTTCAACGTGAGCTGACAACCAAGTGTACGGTGATAACGTAATCGCGGCGACGCATAATTTCTCGCAGACTTTCCGCAGACTTTCCGCGAACAAAATGAAGCCGCACGAGAAAAATTGCCATCGTGTCGCGTTGAATGTGCCGTGATTTCCAGCGGCCAACGAGTTCTTTTCAAGTTTTGCGCGACGAATCAAACAGCTTGAAAAGATTGAACGAGGTTGAGTGGGCACGTTTATACCTTCTCGAGTAATAATCATTGTCGACTATCGCACCGCGGCGGCGGGGAGGGGGGCATGGAGCGTGCATGGTTTCGCTGGTGCAAAACATTTCGCGTGGATAATCAAATATGAGTAAAAACATTTGATTCAATTTCTTTCTGATTAGTGTGCTACCTGTGTGCGCGATGAAACAGAAACTCGCGTAATCTGTTTACAAAAAGATCCGTACAATCACACTATCACAGAACGCTTTCATTTGTAGATGCATAAACATTCGGACGGTAAATTCTCGATTTCTGGAAGATTGTTAACGATTGTTAACGGCAGTGTTCTTGTTCTTGTTTTTTGATGCATCGTCAGATTTTGTAATAATTTTTCGACACACTTAGATTAATATTTTTGTTGTACTACATCGATCAATGAAATCAGAGAATGTATCTCGTATCACTTAGAATGTCACCTGAAAAAGATGGAGGTCATCTTGGAATCTGCGAATGTATTACGACCATCTTTGTATCGAATAACTTTCGTTGGTAAAATTTTTT